CTCCCTCCCTCCCTCCCTCCCTCCCTCCTTCCTTCCTTCCTTCCTTCCTTCCTTCCTTCCTTCGGAAGGGGAGAGAGGGAGAGAGAGAGAGAGAAACATGGATTTGCTGTTGCACTTATTCCTGCACTCACTGGTGGATTCTTGTATGTGCCCTGACCAGAGATTGAGCCCGCAAGCTGGGTGTATCAGGACGACGCTCTAACCTACTGAGCTCCCCAGCCGGGGCCTTGTTGCTCTTTCTATGGTCTGTGAGACAAGTAAGGAGCCCACTGCGAAACTGCTGTCTGATTTGTCACACTTGGGTTGGTTGTTATTCAGTTGTGGAGTGCTACCCAGATGAATCCATTCTTAAACACTGATAAACTTCCCTGGCTACTCAACTATTACTTCCAGACCACACTGTTTCCTTCCCCCACAGGGGATACGGCATTGGAACACGGCTGGTAGAAGACTTTTTGGCTCGATCTTGTGTGGGACGGTGCCACAGTTATTCAGAAATTACAGACATAATTGCCCAGGTAAGGGCATTTTTAGCTCTGTCAATATGTTTTGAAAATCTTGATTCATCCTGAGTTTGGTGGTTTTCTGCTCTGATGGAACAGGTTTCATCTGTATCCATTATGAGGTGCTAAAGGACAGGATTCCATCAAAGAGCATTTTATTTCAGCGCAGGGATAAAGCTATGGTGAACAGAGATAAATGCTTCCAGGCATTTAAACATCTATCGATTTTTCTGACCAAATGGTATGCGTCCCACACTGGGGAAAATGTTTTGAGAAGGTGAACAGAAGGGAAGTGTAATAAAGCAGCCTTATAACATACATGCCCCAGACCAATTTCTTTATGGAATCGTTTTCAGCACGTGGCAAGAGATAGTCTTTGGTTGTCTCAGAGAATATTGCTGTAGCCATTTCATTCCAGAAGCCATGCTTTCCCAAGAGAAAAAGAAAGCTTCCTATAAGTGTATGTGTTCTAAGAACTTTCACAGCCCTAATATATGAGACAACTTGGAATCATCTGGGACCAGCTCAAATTTCCGAGATGAGAGCGGGAAGTGCATCCTTACCCAGCGTTCCTTTAATCTACGGGCCCATGGTTATTAGCTGAGTGCTGTTCATTTGTGAGAGACCTAGAAAGTATGCATGGATATGAGATATTTATGAGGTCCAGGAATGCTGCCTCCAGATTCTCACACCTGACCCATTTAGTCAGTCTCATTCTTTTTTTCTCCTGTGACACTTGATATTGTCATACCTTGCAATACTGACTCTTCACGTGGGTGGCAATAATAATTCTACATAGCAGTTTGTGATTCTAAATGCAGTTTTACATATTTTTTGTCTTTCATCTCTACAGTATTCCTGTGAAGTAGGAAGAGTAGGAGTTCTTATCCCCATTTTCCAGATAAGAAAACTGAGTCTCAGAAAGAATATGATAAAGATTAAATACTAGTATATGTTTTAAAATGTGCAATAAAAAGAACAATCCAAATGAAAGATTTCCCCACTTATTGTTATTCTTACTTTCATTATTTCATGGTTAGTAAATCATGTGGTTGAAATTAAAATCTGGGTTTTCTAGTCCTATTGTAGTGGGTTTACCGTACCACTAAACAGGTTAATTTTTTTCTCTTTCCGTATTTGCAGACTATAACTAAGATCTTGAAGCAATAGTTTGAAAAATGAAATAATTTTCACTAAGCCAATTCTATGGACAATATTACAAGAATATTAGCTATTTTAATGGAAAGTAAATATTCACAATATATAAATGTAGATGACTGTGTCCTATTTCTGTAAGAAGTCCCACTGGGATTTTGGTAGGGATTGTACTAAACCTATAAATCACTTTGGGTCGTGCGAATATTTTAATCATGTTAAGTTATCTGGTCCATGAACACAGAATGTTGTTCCATTTGTTTGTGTCTAATTTCTCTCATCAGTGTTTTATAGTTTTCAATAGGTAGGTCTTTCACCTCCATAGTTAAGTTTATTTCTGGGTATTTTATCCTGTTTTGGTGCTTTTATAAATGAGATTGTTTTCTTAATTTCTTTTTTTGGATAATTTATTGTTAGTATGTAGAGACACAACTCATTTTTGTTTGTTGATTTTTGTATCCTGCAGCTTTTCTGAAATTATTTCTTAGTTTTAATAGTTGTTTTCGTGTGTGTGTGGACTCTTTAGGATTTTCTACGTATCATATCATTTGCAAAAAGATAGTTTTACATCTTTCTTTCTAATGTGGATGCCTTTTCTTTCTTTTTCTTGCCTAATTGATCTGGTTAGGACCCCCCAGTACTCTGCCGAGTACGAGTGCAGCTTTTAATTTTTCACCAGTGCATATAGCAATGGGGAAAGCATAATACCTTTAACAAATGGTTCTGGGAAAACCAGGTCTCCACATACAAAAAAATGGGCTTGGACCCTTATCTCATAGTACACACAAAAATCAACTCAAAATGGAGCCAAGCCTCCACTCTTCTGCGAGATCCCTTCTTCTCAATGAAGAGAACATTTCCCCACCCTCACCCTTCTGCGCGGAGGGGCTGCCTCCTGGTCTTTGCACTTTCCGTCAAAGGCCTGGCTTCCTCCCTCTGCCTAATTTCCCTTCTCCAGCAAAATGTTCCTTCGCACGGGGGAATGGTGTCGCCGGGTGAGGAGCCTGTTAGCACAGATCAGGCCGGGTGTTAGTCATGCCTCCCCCCACCGATGCTTTGCTCATAATTAGCAGCTTTATTGGAAGGTTCTGGCCTCCGGCAGCATTCTCCCTCATCCCTGCAGACGCTCCCCAGAGGGGCAGGTGTCAAACGTCAGGGGTTTGTAGAGAAGCGGGCGAGGTCAGAGGCCCGCTG